AAACGCCACGGATACGCAGCTGCATCGGCTCTTGATAACAGATGAAGACATTACGTTTTTGATACAATTGACCACTCGGGTTTAAGCATATAAACGGAATCTACCGTTAAACCAATTTATCTAATTAAAACAGTTTATGGAAATTGCTATTTACCCATTGATATATATATATATATATATATATATATATATATATATATATATATATATATATATATATAATTTAATGTTTATTCAAAGAATAATGATTTAATTTTATTATTACTATTATTATTATTAGTATTATTATAACAATTAAAAGAATTAATTACCGGAATCGAAACAGATGTTATAGATATCGATTATCACTCTTTGCAATTAATTGCTTTCATAAAACGAAAGAGTGAAGAGGTGAAGTTTAAAACGTAACTTTGTTATGGAAGTTGAACTTTATATCTAATGAAATTCTGGTTTTTATTTTTTTTCTTATTGTATATTACATGATTTTTTTTGCGGGGATGCCCCTTACTTTGACCCTGGCTCCGCCACTGAGGTCCGATGTGGCGTACCAGTCATGCTGTAGGTTCTGTAGGCGTAACAGATAGACAGTAGGTCGGTGGGGGGTTCTTGTCATGTTGAAGGCCCTGTATGCATGTTGTTTGTTGGTATACATTATCTGTTTTGTGTGGTGGTACTTTCGGGGAAACTCACTAAGTTTTGTGCTTACAGTTTTGGTTTATGGTTTTAGGTACTTCAGTGGACCGTGGCAAGAGGAAGACGTGACCGTACACATCCTTGATTTTATAACTAATTATATATTGGGAGACTCTGATTTTAAATAATGTTTTGAAACAATGGTTTTGTGTAACGCCCGCAGATCCGGGCTAGTCAATTTAGAGACGATGAGCATCAAAAATGAGTTTTTGATGGAAGATTATTTAGAAGGATTAATCTTAACCAAGTTGTAGTATATGTTACAAGGGTTCCGTACGTATAAAGAACGCCGAAATCCGAGTTATAACGAAGAAGTTATGGCTCGTCGAAGTTTTACGGCAAAACCGACACGACACCGGGAGACGTAAATAGGGAATTTACGGTAGAAGACTTTTTAGCCTTAGTAATCTAAACGAAAGCCGTAGAATATGTTAAACCGAGAACATCCATAAAAAGAACGCCCAAATCTGACTTCGTATGAGGAAGTTATGATTTTTCTAAGATTTGGCTTAGCAGTGTACAACCCGAAATTCGAATATTAGATCGAGCGGTTTCTAGCCGACACAACCTAAACGAGAATCGAAGATCTCGTTAATAGAAGCGTAACGATAAAAAGACAGACGAAAACAGACGTCGGATGAAGGAGTTATGAATTTTTAACGGACCAATCCTGTCCCGGCCTGTTAAAAATATAACTTTTAAAATAAAGTCAAAATTAGCCGACGGAGTCTAAACGAAAGTTGTAGAGTACGTTCCCGCCTACGCGTGGATATATAGAGTGTCGAAAACGGAGCTCGTATACGAAAGTTATGATTTTTAGAAGTCGGAAAGGAAAATTGCGAAGCTGTTGCTAGATTGATGACGTGGCGCGATCCCAACCGTCCCTTGCTGTTCACAGGCCTCGCTTCGGATGGAGACACCTGGCCTCGCTACGCAGCGCGTACAGGGAACGCCTCGCGTTCGGAATCGCTTGGACTCGGATGGACCACGTCGCACCTACAGGCCTCGGACACGTCTTCGTACGAACGCTGAGCGTAACCAAGGAACGCCCTGCGTCCGAGGAACGCCTCGCGTAGAACGAAGGAGCGCAGCGCGTAGCCAGCAGCCTCCGGCCTATAAAAGGGCTGCGAGGGCCAGCCATTTTTCTCACCAATTCACTTCTACTTTCTCTCTCTACTTTCTCTCACTACCCCCTAACCCCTCCTAAGCCTAGGTAAACCCCCTAGCACCCGAAGGAAGCCCCGAGGCTCCCGGAGTCCCGAGAAAAAGGGTCTTTCGGTTTGGAAACGCTGCTCCGAGCAAAGCCCGGTTTTTAAGAAAACCCGCTGTAAGTGAGCTACGCCTACACAATTTTTAATATAGCTTTTAAATAATTATAGTAATGTTATTAGGTCCTTAAAATAATTATTTGGGCTATTATTATGAGTTATATTGAGTGTTATTTAATGCTTATATAATAATAATAATAGCTAGACTATTAATTAGTCGCGGTTAACGTTAAAATTAAACTCTACTTGTATTGATACTAGGTTTTGGTCAAGGAAAAATTGTTTTGAGATAACGAAGTGCTGTTCGAGTACCGAGTCACCACCTAATCAGGTGAGTGCATAGTCCCTTTCATCTTACACATAGATATGAAGTATTTTATATAAACTATGTGCTATGTGTGCATATTATCTGTATACTTGCTATCTATGTTGGATGAACGATTTTATACAAGTATTATATGATTTAAACTGTATATGTATTTTATATCTACAAATATGTTGGGCGAAACATGGGTAGATGAATGATGAGGGATGAAAGATGATGTGAGTGAACATTGGCAGCTATAGACTTAGTGCCTATTGAATAAACGTTGGTAGCTATGGACTTAGTACCTGATAGATAAACGTTGGTAGCTATGGACTTAGTACCTGATAGATAAACGTGGGTAGCTATGGACTTAGTACCTATTAGATGAACACCGGTAGCTATGGATTTAGTACCCGATGAATGAACTTTAGCAGCTATGGATTTAGTGCTTCACGAATGAGGATTGGCAGCTATGGACTTAGTGCCTGTCTCCTGGAAGCAAGGGACTTCAGAATGAACGAATAGATGAATCTTAGGGTAGACCCTTGTGAGTAAGGAAAATAATGGGGATGGGTAATTGGGTTGATTGTTTGATGTTTAAACATAGTAATTATATTATTGTGGGTTGAAAACCCTATGTACTCACCAGGTTTCCCAACCTGACCCACTCAGTTTATTTGTATCACAGGTGTCGAAACGAAGTTACATTACACTGAGAGATTAAAGAGATGTAGATCACTAGTGTAAATGAATGTAAGTTATGTTTATGCTTATGTTTCTGTATTGACGATGACATCCCAAATGTTTTAAAATGAATACATTTCTTCGGAAATGCTTTGATAACGTATTTATCATGTTTTTATGGGAACAAATTCCGCAACATTTTTATCAAAAGAAGTACTCTAATTTTTATAAAGCATAAACAAAATCGGTCTTTTCTGGCCGTGAAAATAGGGATGTCACATTTTGTAACACTTCTGTTAGACAAAATGGTTGTTTTGAAAAGTTTAAAATTTGTTGAATTTTTGGGATGTTACAATAATGAAGTAAATATGTCGTGCTCTATTAGTCTTATTGATATAAACAAACGAGACATAAACGAAATTACTCAAACTTTGAATATTGAAAATTTTAAGTCAATAATACTTGAGATATCAAGTAATCTTTCACAAAATAATACAATTTACAAGAAACCAAAATGCTAGAAGCCAATACCCTATTTTCGAAATCATTTTCAAGAAAATCACTTACTTTGAAGTTTGAAGTCTACATCGGTGAATGTTGGTGTCAACTTAATAACCGGCGACGACGAGCTGAGTTAAGTTTGAAGTCTACTGGAAATGTCTTTTTGTTTTCATAGGGTTCGATGCTTCGATGGAAGACTCAAGAAACAGACAAGGGTTTTTTTGAAATCAATGATCGGGAATGAGGGTAAAATCATAAACAAAATATGGATAAGTGTGGATATTACCCAAACGGCCATTTATTTTTTAAATAAATTGGGTATTTCGGATATATCCGAAACCCTATACATATATCCAATACGCGGTCTAAAAGAATCGGGTAACCCGAATACCCGAAAATATATACCCGATTTACCCGAATTTAAAACGGGCCGGATCGGATAATCGGATATTTTCAACAGGTCTATCCTATAGCTAACTCTTTAACAAGCTTGTGGGGGATGGTGTAGGCGTGTAGCGATTTTCTAGCGAGGTTGTGGCGAGGCTTAGCCTCGCACTCTTAAGCCTAATAACTAAGGGTAATGATATTTCCACTGAAGATTTTTATACTTCCATTGAAAAAATATTGTAATGACAATTATGCCCCTGATTTCAATTTATAGATAATTAAGAGAGAAAGTTTCTTTGTTTCTAAAAAAATGTGAGACCAACAGATCTTCCTCCTTCTGTCATTGTGTGCTCGCACAGGTAAGTGAATTGGGCAATCAAATGAATGCTTTGCTTCTGAAAATTTGTTTCAAATGATAACAATGTAACAAGTTGTCTAATCGGTTTCTCTCTGCAAATGCCTCTTGTGAACTTCATCATTTTCCCTGTTCTAGCAATTAATTTCAATGTTGAATTGTAAACTATGATTGAGGGTTTCTGGAAAAATTAGCAATTCACAATTCGGGGTAACATCACTTGCCCAATTTACAGAAACCACATGATGTTGGCACAAGAAGAGGAAAACATGATATGAGATTTTCTGTATGCTTTTTAGTGCACATATATACTTTGGGTGTTTTTTTTCCAGATTTTTTTGGGTCTTAAATAAATTAATACTTTAGGAATTGGGAATTGGGGATAACATCAGCGTCTTCTTCTAGATGCTAATTGCATTGAAGATATGACAAAAGCTTAAAAAACTCTCACATGGCAATTTCCAGACCAAGCTTGTTCAATTCGTCCTTATTATCATCTTTTGTTGAGAGAGAGAGAGAGAGAGAGAGAGAGAGAGAGAGAGAGAGAGAGAGAGAGAGAGAGATCATTGTCGTTTATCATACCGGTGGCATGGAGAAACACACTTCGATGACCGTTGAACAAGTAGCATCGTGGGAGGAAGAATGAGGAAACCGTTCAAAATATTTATGTAAATATAATCAAGGGTATAATTGTCGATAACCAAATTTTTCGGTGGAAGTATAAAAACCTACAGTGAAAATATCACGACCCAATAACTAACCCATCTTAATTCGTGACTCACTCGAGTCAACTTGTTGAAGTCAAACTCGCACTTGCTAAAACCCAACCTGATTTGGACTCTGGCTCGGCCCAAATACGCACCATCGGATCACCGATGATCTGATTCTGAACAGAGGGACACCACACCACCTTGCAGCACCGGCAATGATTTTCGACGGCCTGGACTTCCGGTCGAAGAAAGATGATGCGTGGTACGCCTGCGGCGTCGTTCTTGACGGAAAGAAGCTCCGAGTGAAGTTCAAGGATTTTGTGGAGAGCTTCCATGACGAGGTTTTCTCCATTGCTGATTTCTCCACTCACCGTGAAATTGAACAATTTCTCCTTAGATTCCGTCCGACGTCCATGCCGATAGAGGAGAATGAGTGCTCCAAAGTGATAGAAGGCATGATGGTCTCTGCTACATATACACGCGATGGATTAGTTCGATTCTTTGATGCCATTGTTGATGCCGTACGTATCATATCACAAATTAGGGCAAATAAGCTCCAGTTTTACAAAATTCTCGTCCAATTTTATCTTAAACAATCTCTGTGTCATCTGTTCATTCGTAACATTCTTGTCCCAAATTAACCGTTCTTGCTTTAATTTAAAGATCACAATTCCACGATTGACATGATCACAATATGATAATGTATGTTTTGTACTGGATAGGTGAATTACAAAGAGCACACACCTGGGAAGTGCATATGCACTTATCTACTATTCTGGCAACATGGTCCTGCTGAAGGCAACATAACTGCAGCAAGTATTGATGATATATGCCTTATTATGTCTGGTGCCCTTGATCCCAGAGTGACTGAATTCGCAAAGCTTGTGAAGGAAAAACTTAGAGGTGCCTCTTCTCAATCTAGTTTCACATCCAAGGCTCCATTTTTGTCTAAAAAAACAAGTTCAAACCAAACTCTCAACAAGTTACAGGCAAGTTTTTCAGTCTTGCAGTTCTCATAGCTTTTTATTCTGGTAATTATCTGCAAATGGTTGGCTTCTTGATATGTAGGAGTTCAGTGGTGATGGAGACAGTCGTAATGGTGGATCATCTGAAGGTTTGAATGCTTTTTTAAACTTTATTTTGTAAATCTTAGGGATTTGAGAACTCACCATAATTTGTTTGTGCAAAATAGGGAGAGAAAGATTCAAGATTCAACTAAATGATCAAGACAGAGATATGGGGGGTGTGAAAGATATTGGCTTTCATCATTACATAATATTAGAAAATCTGGAGAAAAATCTATCTCCAGTATTAATGACAGAGTTCATACATGAACACACTTCAATCACAGCACAAGCATATGTTTTTCTAAGCTTGTCAGCAGAAACATATGCTAGAGGAGCACTTGTTTTAAATAGCAAATCAAAGCTTAAGAGGGTATATGAATTTATAAACAACCCAAATCACTTCATTGTATCTTCATCTGGAAGGTAAACCATTGTCAAATTCTTTAACTGGAGCTTGTTTTCTAGCCAATTGAGGTGTATGATTATTTCCTGTGTAGGCCATGGGTAATAGCTGAAGACATGCTTAGAAATGGAACTTTCAACATAAACCTTCAGAGCTTGCAGCTAAAGTGTAAGGTAAAAGTTTCACTTCTGTTGTTAAAAAAGGAAATCAGCGTTTCCATATAAACTGTATTTTGCAGTTTACTTTCTTGTTTCTTGTTTATTCTTGATTGATCTTTGAAGTTTAAACTCCCTTCTACTCCAATCCCAGAACCAAAATACAGAGAGAAAGTTAATAATTGTACGATTAGGAACAGAAGAATATATGAGAGCTAAACAACTAAAAGATATATACATGGAATTTCGTGATCATGTAAATGTACTTGTGGAGAAGTTAGATATGGAGGAGAAGAAGAACATGCATCCATCAAGTGCAAATTAGTTTCTGCAAGTTGTATATATGCAGTTTCTAATGAAGGTAATTGAATAAATGCAAGTTTGTTTTGTGTTATTTCATATAAAAGTTGAAAATTTGAAGAAATTATTGTTTGTTGCAGGTTTGTAACTTGTAAAGGTGCAAGTTTTTTGTGTATGTATGTGAAGTTGAGATGTAAGATAGCAGGTATTAAGAGACCTATGTTTGATTCTTTGTTTGGTAATTCTAGTGAAATAATCATGTTTGTGTTAGAATAAACCTACAATAATGTGACCTTAGGACCATTTCTGTAATGAATAATGTGTTAGTGATATATTTACTGATTTTATCCTCAATTATGCCATGATGATACGACTGGTCCTCCAATTATTGTGAGATGTTACTTGTTGGAAGTAACCATCAAAATATGGAGTGTGGTTAGTGTTCTTGTTTTTACTTGTTCAATCATGGAATCACATGAGACAAAGATCGTTGCGACTTGAAATAATCAACATGTGGTATTAGAGCATGTTTTAGTTATTATTTGATGTGGATATGTCTTGTTACTTTGGTGTTAGAGATGGATTATTGTACAATACTAATATGTTTTATGTTAATAATTTATCCCATTGAGTCATGTAGTTTCGTCTATGTATACGTCTAATATCTCTTTTGTTTAACCATCCGAGTTAACTTCTAATTACGGTTTGAACAATTGACCATTATGAGCTTAACAACATGGAGAGACTCTCTGAAGCTAACTATGATTGATGAATCTTGATCATGCAAAGAAATGTAATATTGATGCACACATGATTTATAAATCCATTAATGTTAGGGATTTGTAAAAAAAAAAGGAGCAAACCCGATAGGGAATATGCAAACTAACAACTTTTGGTCGGGTCGGGTATCTATTATAAAATATTCACGGGATCGGGATCACGGATACTATTTGTAGCCCCTACCCTCATTACGTGTACCTAACCGAACCCATTTTTGCATAATCGAGACCCAAAACCATTTATATATAGCAATTTTAGTTTTGATATTTAAATTTGAAAAAGATAAATTAAATATTTTCCTACCTTTTCTTCCTATATATATTCTTACCCATATGAAATGATGACAAATGTTATACTTTGATAAAATTAATTATTAGATACTTGTCATCATTTTAAATTGGTAGGAAAAAAAATAAAAGGGTATTTAATTTCTCTTTGAAATAGTATTGTTTTCCCAACCGTGTTTAATCAAATTTAGCTCTACTTTCCATAACTAAAGATCTTTATGTAATTTATGGTTTAGTGTGTTATTTTGGAATTTGTATGAAATGTATAGATAAAGTTAAAGGTAGATTTAGGGACATATTTGAAGTTGGGTTTCGGGAACAATGACCCATGCTTAATTTTACCCGTTTAATATAGACGGGGATACCTGTTCACTACTCGGATCAGTGATCGAATACTATTTTACCAATTGGATACCCGCCATGTCGGGGATAGAAGCGGTTTCAAATTTGGGTTGGTCCGGGAAAACCAGAACCCAACTTGTTCCTATCCATACTTAATCTTAATGTATGTTTAAATGATGATGGATTGATCCGGTTCCATGGTAGACATTTTCAAAATTTTAAGCACTCACAACGAGAGCCTAGCGGTTGAGTTGCAAAATTCTATAAAGGAGGTTAAAGTTTTATACACTGCATTGCCAAAACATATATAGTTTTCCACAATTTACCCCCACATGACGGGCATGTGGCGGGTTAGATGTGAGTTGTACAAAGTGTGCGATCTACCCTTTTTTTTTTTTTTTTTTTTTTTAAAGAAAAAAAAAATTCAAATTTCTAAATTCTATTCGAGGAAATTAGAAAGAAACCAAACATTTAAGGTCATGAATAGATTTGATTTAGATGTTGGAGTTGTAGGAACACTAACTACATTTAATGTTAGATGGTGGCTTTCGTTTAATTCATTATACCACTCTTTATTTACCAAACACATTACATGCTTGTGATTATACATACTTATTATCATGGCGAAGTCACAGTTGTTTGAATTTTGAAATCGTGTGTTATGGTTTAGATGGAAACCTCTTTAGATTATGTTTGAACAATTAGTTCTTGAAATCCCTATCCTCATGTAAAAAGTTAATGAGAATCTCATAAGAGAATGTGAGATATGGAAACTTCATTTATGATATGGCATCAATTGGTAGGCCATGTATGACCGAGACATAATGTTAAGACTTGTGAAATATGAGGTTTTGCCGAGTCTTAAATTCTTGTACTTTAATAAGCGTATTGTATGTGCTTAAGGAAAATAGTAGAGGGAAATAAGAAAGGTGCCGGAAGGATATCCAGGTTATTGAAATTAACATCCATCGATATGTAGATATTTTCATGTGGATACAAGTGGAGATAAACAAATTATTATCTTGACGGACGACTACTAGTGTTATATGTACTTATACCTAATTAATGAGAACTCCAAACTGCAAAATATGTTTAAAACATATCATGTCGAAGAGGGTGGAGTCAGACTTTTAGGATAAGGAGCTTATATCTTAATAAAATATTAAAATATTTTTATATCCAAAACAGAGACTATAAAATTAAAAAAGAAATTCATAAAGAAAAAATTGTCTAAATAGGAACTACATATTATCACTAATTAGATGCAATTTTAGGTCATATACATCTACTATTAGTTTGAAAAAGGAATCAATGGTTCTTTTCATATGCATGATTTACCTTGTGATTATAATAAACCAAATTACTAATGATATTAAGTTATTAGTTAAAAGTTATAGAAAATAAAAGATGCTATAAGAATTAATGTTTACCGTCTTTTGATTAGATAATTGAAATCTTGTAGATATAGTAGTATAACTAAAAACAATTTTTTAACTGAAATAATTGAAGAATAAAATAGCTATCAACAATATTGGTTAATCATAATAGATACAAAATCTATTTATGAATAAATGAGGTTGCAATCAAAATATCTACTGAATAATTGATAAAATTAGAGGTATAATCAATGGCCAATTAAAATAAAAGAAATATGAGTGAAGGCAGTGAAAATTAAATCAAACATGAGCCTCAATTTTGGTTACAATTCTCATACTGTCATTGTTCTTTTATATATAATAATTGTCTTTTAAAAAGGATTGGGAGGGGCTCATATTAATAATTAATCGATATGAGCTAGAAATTTATTTGTGGGCTCATTTTATCTATAACTTAGTTGAACTTCTAAAAGAGATTAGGGGGGCAAAGCACCCGACAGCCCCCCTACTCTCTCCGCCTCTGATGTCGAAGTTGAAAATCAACTCGACTGAAAGATTAAAATAATGAGTGGATAACTATATGAGTTTTATCTTAAACATATTTTAAATATATTCCTCTTCCACTGAAGACCCCAACAGTTAACTAGTGATTCTCAAATATAATAAAATCAAACTAGTACGCACAAGACCCGTCTATGTCCGGTACGTCAATATAACTAACATGACTATCCATATATTGAATTGCATGGAATTTTGTGAACTTCTCACCATGTTGAAGGTCCATAGAAAACATGATCAGATTTGCTTATGCTCAAACAAAATACAAAAAAGATGAAGAAAATTAATAACTTTCCTATTGCAATCGTTTTTCTTTTAATTGATGATAATCTCATTAACGGAGACTAAACAACTTACCATATATGGCTATCATATAAAAATGATGGTTTACTGATCGAATTGTCCACATTTGATACGTCATCCTCACATGAGGGGAGAGGAGGGAATTGTCCATATTTGATACACCATCCTCACATGGGGGGGGGGGGGGGGGGGGGTGGGACCTGGGTGAGTTAACATATGAGAGATAATATATTTTATCTATAGAGACCAAAACAACAATGACACATGCTGAAATTACTAAATTTTTATTTTTTGAACTATAAAGACCAAAATCCAAAAAACTTACCATAGAGACCAAATTTGTAATTTTCCCTAAATACATGGGTGGTTTTGGATAATAAATATAAATTTACTATCATTATACATAAAAAAAATAAAGAAATACATTGTTCAGATCTATAAAATACTAGTAATAAATTTGAGTTGATATTTAGAGTAATATGTTGTTTTCTATATGATATCACAAAACCAATGCAATGGTTACATAAATAAATACATTTTTTTTTCAAAAGACAAATGCCCAAGGCAAAGATCCAATAGCAACCGGACTGATCAAAAAGATTGTTATCAGTTCAAAACGACACGACATTCGTGTACATTGTAAATCAGAGTTCGACTTTAATTTTTATTTTTAACTCAACTGTTAAAACTGAGCTAACGTCAAAACCCTAGGTAAGTACTCGCTTTCCTCAGATCTACCCCTTTCGCCCATCAATTTTCTTCTATAATCCTATCCCATGAATTCAATTTCACTATGTATACTTGATCTGTAGAAACTGTTGAATGCAAAGATGATGAGGTTTCCGACAATTTTAACGGCTGCCGTCGTATTTTCCTTCCTAATTACAGAGGCCGTCGGGATTAGATTCGTAATCGACAGAGAAGAATGTCTATCTCATAATGTTGAATACGAAGGTGATACAGTTCATGTCTCTTTCGTTGTAATTAAGGCCGAATCAACATGGCATTTCGCTGAAGAGGGTGTTGATCTCGTGGTAATTTCTTTCATTCTATTCTTTATTGGAGAAATTTATATGATCTTGTAATATGTTGGAGTTTCTGTTTTAGCTATACTGTTTCATATTGAGCATTATTGTGCATTTAAGTTTCAAAGAAATAGGAAAGTCAGAAAGTAATAGCAATATACTTACATTTTTTTTACACATAGTAGCAATGTATTTACATTTTTTTATGGATAATAACAATATGTAACAAATAAAGAACATTGCCCATGTTGGCAGCAAAATCTAAGGCTATTGGGTGTACATTGGTATTGAAAGATGGAAGGGATGATGTGGCGCTTACGTGGCACAAAATGGTGAAAGATGAAAGATGGGTACACCCTATAGCCTAACTACATTGCTATTATGGGTAAATAATTCTAAACTGATTTTATCTATAAATAATTATAAGTACATTTCTATTTTGAGTAAAAACCCAATGAGTTGGTTGTTATTTTGGGTGAAAAGTAAACTAGATTCCCCATATTAGTTGTGAGAGTAAGGGGTTGTTTGATAGCTGCTGATTGAGTCAGATCTGACTGCTTGACTACCTCTGACTGGGTCTAAAGTCAGACTGAATCTACATCTACTAAATCCATATTGTTTGATGTAATAATCATATCAGATAAAAGGTCCGGGTGGAGAGGAAGTACACAGTATGCACGATAGAACTAGCGAAAAATACGAGTTTATGGCTCAAAAAAAAGGTTTATATCATTTTTGCTTCACAAACAAGTCTCCATATCACGAGACAGTAGACTTTGATGTGCAAGTTGGTCATTTCGCATACTATGATCAACACGCAAAAGACGGTAATGCCCCTGTGAACTTTGACTAGAAGTTTTCCTTTCATTTTGGTCAACTAATATTTTTTAATTTGTGGGTCCCGTAGAGCATTTCAAGCCGTTATTTGATCAAATAGCGAGATTGGAAGAAGCGCTTTACAATATTCAGTTTGAACAACACTGGTTACAGGCTGAGAATGATCGTCAGGCAGTTGGTATACTTTATGACATATGAAAAGAAAGAGATACGTTTGACTTTTTTAGGATCAAATTACAGAATAGCCACTATGTTTTAAGCCATTTACCCTAAAAAGACATTAGTTATATACATAATGCATTATAGGCATTACCTTTTTAAAAAAAATAGAAAAGCCATTGAGGACCTGGTACTGGGTCAGCATTAAATGCCTCAGTATTAATGTTTTTTATGTAAATGGCTGAAAATATAGTGGCTTTTTTGTAATTTGTCATTTTTAAGTTTCTAATGGTGGTATGTTATATTACTTGGGGTGCAGTAAATGAGAAAATGGGTAGAAGAGCAGTCCACAAAGCACTGATTGAATCAGCAGCATTGATCGGGGCTAGTGTTCTCCAGGTTTATCTCCTACAACGTTTGTTTAAACGAAAGCTTGGGACATCTAGAGTTTGAAAACATGAAGGTGATTCGTAACTTGTATTTGGGTTTATGTAGGCCAAATGTATCTTTTTTAAATGGCCTTTTAAACATTATTTTTTTATTTGAGTTATAGCCATTTTACTTCATTGCCCCATTTCTAGTCGGATTAAAAAGGTTTAGCATTGGGTTTTAATTTAATTATTTTGATTTTCTATCCAAAATTTTATGAAACGACTATAGATTATTATATTAATTATATCATTTTTAACCGAGAGAAAATGACAAAAGTATCACATTTCTTAATCGTTTGACAAATAATACCTAATAATTAACCCCATTCCACAAATAATAAGTAATAACTTTCACAATGAGCCCACTGTGCAAATGGTCTAAACGACATCGCATTGCCTTATAATTGTCACTACGAAATGGGCTTGGAAAGTGGTGATCCTTTGAAATGGCGATTGCAAATTATGGGCCCATGTGAAATAATCTTTTAGGACTATAAAGCTGTCGGGACTCGGGACTCCGGTGTACCTTCCACACACCACGCCTAGTGCCTATGTGGCCACTTGACAACGCGGGTGACCCATCTCCCTCTAATGGTCGCCATGCTCCTCTCACATTCACATGAGTTGTCAGATTTAGGGGTGTTTGTGGTGCGGTTTGGAGTCGAAACCGCAAACCGCATCGCATATATGGTTTGTGAATTTTGGAAACCGCAAACCTCACCACGAAGGTTCTAAACCGCTTTATGCGTTGCGGTTTATACGGTTTTTGTGCAGTTTATGTGGTTAGATGAAAGGGTTTGGCTTTAATGTTGTGTATTTTTAGTTAATCGAACTAAAATTATCGTTGTCTTCATTTTAACCGCAAACAATCATTGTTATTTAAAATGAACAAGCATTTTTAACCGCATCGCATATACGTTTAGTTACTTATATTATAAGATAAAGTACATGAAAGTAAGTTAATACGTTTAATTACTTATATTATAAGATAAAGTACATGAAAGTAAAGTTAATGGAACTAAAAATTGCCTTCATTTTAACCGCAAACAATCATTGTTATTTAAAATGAACAAGCAAAATATATACACTTCCATTATGCGTCAATTACATTCAAATTCATTAATCATGAAACCAAATTCATATATCGTTGTCTTTTTACTATATATAGGCCTGGTAATGGAGCGGGTTTTGACCCTGATCTGATCCAAACCCTTAATAATTATATGGGTTTGGAGCATAGTTTTTGATCCGTTTACCCGTTAACGACCCGTACCCGCTAACCATTTTATTAAAAGGGTCGGGTATGAATCATCATTGATCCACTCCGTTTATAACCCGCCCATATAAATTTTAGAGTTATAAATTTATATTTTATACAACCTAAAGTTTGCTTTTAATTTTAATCGACAGTCCAAAGAGAAAAGGCTGAAGACTAAACTGTTTTACATAGGAATCGAGGACTCAACTTCTAGACTTTCAGTATTCTAGCAAGAAACATGATGTTATTTCATTTATATTTAATCAACCAAGCAGTCATTTATCAATCGGAAGAAAGTTGGAAATTTTTATTCTCTATTAATGCAATCGAGGATCAAAAATCAATCAGAAGTTACTAGGAAAATGATTGTAATTCCAATCGAAGGTCATCGAGTACGTAATGTGTTATTTAAATCAACATTGTTTTATTTAATAAATATTATTTTGAGGTTTAAGTAAAATGTGTTTGATTATTCAAAAAACTTACGAGTTACGGGGCGGGTTTGGATATCTGTTGATTCGGCGGATAAGGGTATGCGTTTGATTATTCAAAACCCTACGGGTTACGAAGCGGGTTTGGATCAGAATTTGAAATGTGTTAAACGGGTTTGGATCAATGTCGATTCGCACCAAACCCGCCCCATTGCCAGGTCTAACTATATATATATATATATATATATATATATATATATATATATATATATATATATATATATATATATATATATATATATTATTGTGTGGTGTCGTTTTAAACCATTGTTTTACGATTAGAAACTGCAAACCGCACCGCAAAGTGCGGTTTAATAAAATTCTAAATCACAAACCACACCGCATTAGTTCTAAACCGCGTTATGCAGTGCGGTTTGGTGCGGTGCGGACAGTTTATGCGGTTTGATTCACACCCCTAGTAAGATTCATTCCTTGCCGTCAACTTTTTTTCATCATTGGTTGATTGTGATTCTATTATACCAATTAACAACCTTGCAAGCTCAACATTTATGTGCATCATGGGTATTCAGGGTTATTATAATATTATAAAAATATAAAATTAACTATAATTAAAATTGATTTCCATTCCATTAGGTTGGCTCAGAGGTGCACATGAGTTGGTTTTAACCAAAACCAAATTTTTATAAAAAAACCAGTCCGATTTTTAACCCTTTTTTCATATCGATTTGGATTTTAACCTAATATTTTTTTGTGTGTGTGGGTGTGTGTATTTAAAGGCATAACCAGTTTTTGGTTTAACCTATGAAAAACCTATTTTTAAACTCAAATTTAATCGTACAAAAATATTATTTGTAATAAATAATAATAACACCGTTTGAACTTAGCGACACAACTTGTTGTCTGTTTGCCTTCTCATTTGTTGTACAATGATAACTAAAATATGATTTTTAATTTATGGATTTGATTTTTTACTAAAAAAAATTATAACATGATATTGATAAAATATAAGATCCTAAAGGGTTATACTAAGAACAACTTTATATAATTGATTATTTATTAGAAATTGATTTTAATAAATATTCAATAAACTTTAATAATTAATTGGAAATAATAATTTTATCAACAAGTAACATAATATATCATATGATATGATTTATTAAGTCATGCATAATATTTTGGACTAGAAAGACTTTTGTTTTTTAGGTAAAAGTTAAAGTTTATAACTTATAAAAGGATTTGTAAGTTTTTATAAAACTAGTATTGCTTTTTTATTATGTCATACACAACATTTTGGACTAGAAGGACTTTTGTCTTTTAGATAAAAGTTAAAGTTTATAACTTATAAAATAATTTGTAAGTTTTTATAAAACTAGTCTTCCTTTTTTATCCCCATGGCCAAAAAGTTTGAATGGTTATGGAGGGATGTAGTTTTGATTGTTTAATCAAAAGAACACTCCCTAAAAAGCATGCATGAACATTATGATGGAGACTGAGACATAGGGACATGGTAAACACTAAGACCTTATGGTTAATACCTTGGTGTTTATACCATGCAAAAAAAAACTTTCAATTTGGTTCATTCTTGCTTGAAGAAAACCGTAGCTTTTCTCTTCCTTTTCTCTCATATCGGTTTGGACTTTTACCTAACATGTTTTAGGGTTTTTTTATTTTATTTTATTTTTTTATTTGTGTTTGAAGGCATAACCGGTTTTTCGTTTAACCTATGAAAAACCTATTTTTTAAACTCAAATTTAATCATACGAAAATATTACTTGTAATAAATAATACCAACACTGTTTGAACTTATTGAAAGATATATATGCCTAAAAGTCATTATAAAGTGATATTGATAAAATATATGATCCTAAAGAGTCATACTAACAACAACTTGGTATAATTGATTATTTCTTAGAAATTGATTTTAATAAATATTCAATAAAATCTTATAATCAGTTGGAAATAATAATTTTATTTAGCAAGTAACACAATATGTCATATGGTATTATTTATTAAGTTATACACAACATTTTAGACTATAAGGACTTTTGTCTTTTAGGTAAAGGTAAAAGTTTATAACTTATAAAAGGAAAAACTAGTCTTGCTTTTTTATTATGTCATGCACAACATTTTGTACTAGAAAGACTTTTGTCTTTTGGGTAAAAGTTAAATTTTATAACTTATAAAATGATTTGTACGTTTTTATAAAACTAGTCTTGCATTTTTATCACCATGACCAAAAAGTTTGAATGGTTATGGAGGGATGGAGTTTTGATTTGTTTAATCAAATGAACACTCCATAAAAAGCATGCATGGACAATTTGATGGAGTATGGGAGATAGGGACATGGTAGGCCATAAAGTGCTAAGACCTGTAATATTCTGTTTCGAATCGTTTCATAATTCGGGGCCGTGACCCGAAGATCAGTTATCATAAGGCTTCAGGCCTTGGGGAAAGAGATATTTAGACCCCTTTGGATGTGGGTAATGTAGATTAGGTGATTCGAGAGTTCGGTTGGTGCTTTGGAGCCCAAGGGTATAACCGTAAAGTGATAGTTCGGGCCTTTTATGAATTTAGAATTTAAGTTTGGAAAGTTTTAAGGCAAATGAGAGTCGATAAGATTGTAGAGCTTATCATCACCTTTCCGTGGATATAAGGATCGTCGAAATCGGAGTTGAAACGAAGAAGTTATGACCCTTTGAAGTTAGGTCAGTTTTGGGGCTTAATCTAGTACGCTGGGAGTACATGGAGTACGTTGGGCGTACTAGGCATATCTGGAGTATGTTGGGCGTAGCTAGAGTACGCTGGGTGAACGTGATCAGTGCCCAAACCCTATTTTCCTTGTTTGATCCCTATTTAAGTTCCTTAACTTCTCCAAACCCATTCCATTCTCAGCCTCCATCTATCCAACACCCTCCCTTGAAACCCTAACCCTAGATTGAGCTTTGTCAGCAAAAAGAAGGTGTTTTTAAGTGCTTTGGAGTGTTCTTGGTGCATCTTGGAGAAGAAGAAGCTCATTGGTGAAGTGTTGGTTGCATTGGAGCTTGTAGATCCAAACTTTGTTCACCTTGATCTTTCTTCTAAGTGTATAAAGTTTAAATCTTGATGATGCATTTGCTAGATCTAGCTAGTTTTGGGTGTTATGAGCTTTTGGTCACTTTTGTGCGTAAAGTTTAGATCTTGAAAGTATGTGACCTTGTTATGGATAAAGTTGAAAACTTATCCATTTAAATATCATATTGATTCAGATGTAGAAGCTTGAAACTTGGACTTAATGGATTAAGTTGGAAAAGATGCATTTTTGGTCCCTTTGAGACTTAAAGACTAGATCTTGGTTGGTTGGGCCATTCTAATGGATAAAGTTGGAAACTTTATCCATTATGGAGTTATTAGGAACCACAAAAATATCATCTTGATGGGTTTTGATGAATCATGCTTAAGTTGATGTTCATATTATGGGTTTAGAT